ATCTTCTTTCGGTGACGTTCAGGCCAATTTCGTGGAAGTCTTTTCCCGCCACGGAACCAGAGAACAGCAGCGATTTCCCTGCTTCAGAACTCTTAAGTCTTACTTTATTGGCAAGGATGTAGCTGGATCTTGCTCGGAAATCGGGTAATTGAAAGTCACTCTTACCTTTTCTGCTGGGACAGGGCTACTTAGGGTTGGAATACATGTTTGGACGTTTCAGTATTTACGAGATTTCGAGAGCTCATAAGGCGATCGATAACTTCGATATTGATGCAAATTCGAATTTTATATAATAACTTGAACAGGACTTAGATTTAAAATACATTTAAAAATTAAAAAATTCAGTTCCACTATTAATTCAACAAAAATTAGAAAATCTTCAAATAAAAAAAATTGATAGCTATACTTACATTTCAGCCAACAAAATCTTAACACCTCAAAAACTCTCAACTTATAACACTAATAATAAAAATAATGTTATACAAATTTTTAATACAGACGTTACGAATGATAAAAACGTAGAATTACGTTTTGCCAAGGATATCGTACATTCTTCTGTAAATGTAATCCGTAGCGAATAACGTTCTTTGATGTCGTCCTTGAGGAATCCGAGAATGCTGGCAGGGAATATCGATATTCCATGGCTGTATCGTACGAAATTTCAAGCATGGCCGAGCCGTTTGATGACAAACGCACCCTCGCACGCAGGGGGTGGAAATCGAAATGCGTCCACCCCGTTCGTCAGAGGGGGACGAATTCGACCAATTGATGGGTTTGGGGCTGCTGTCGATCAATCGACAAACTCGTAGCACAAAGCCAATGGCCATTCCTATTCCACTGACCCTGTTTGTTCGTTGCTTGTTTTACCGATCAATCGAATTTCTTCCTTCGGTCCGCACGATCGCTGACGTATGTTCTACGGTAAGTATCGAATGCGATAAATCACTATTTTAAGAGTCAGTTCTTTCAGAAAGAAATAATCAAACACAACTACAAATCCTAGTACCATAAATCTTATGTAGGTTTATATTTGAGGAACATCCCTTTCGTATTACTTCAAGAGCTCAACAAAGATATCACCGCGTTCTTTTCTGCATTTTTTATTAGAAATACTATGTAAATATTAATCAATAGACATTTCTTATTAGTCGTAGGTGACCTAACAAATTTTTATGAAATTGTTTTATAATTTTGTGTAGGTTCATAAGATTTGAATAACAGCCCTTTAGTCTTGAGTAACAGCCCTAGACTTAAGGTCTTCCACAAGGATCACTATAAATCCTTTTCTGTATATTTCGTTAAAAGTATTATTATTTGAATATTAATTTTTACTTATCAAGCATAGAAGACATATAAAGACCTAATTTTCACCTACCGCCATCAAGTTGAGAACCTCGATTATGAACAACGAGATTCGCTTAACAGAGAACGCGTTGAGTCGGGTCAATAAAGCGCTCGAATGATCGTCGGGGCAACATTATCTGACCGGTGCATCAAAAATATGATACCATATGCTAATAACTCACGCATGGTTCACCGTCGAAAAAAAGGTAATATATGTATACACAGAGAAGAGAAGAAGAGCGACGAAGAAAGGAGAAAGCGGGTAGCAGCGGTTAGGCTAACCGCACGGAGCGATCGTATTATGCTCGCAAGGACGAATAAAGCCGGGATTCCGCATTGTGACCGCGTTTTCATCGCGTCGGAAAAACAGAGAGGGTTCTACACGAGAGTGTAAGGTCAGGTAGAGAAGCTTTTAAACGTTGAAGAAACGAGACAGAAGCCAGATAGGGTTGCCTCCGGATGCGCTCGAGAATGGGCGCGTCGACGTAACCGGCTACAAACGCGATATGTACAGTCAACAGCAAATCTTACCTAGGGAAAATGTGCCATAAGGGGGAACACGCTCGTTGATTTTTAAGTAGTAGAGTAAGACTAATGGTATAGAAGAATAACTGGTCTGACCATCGAATTAGGACCACAAAATTTCACTTTCATGGCTATAATTACGTTATATATGGAAAATTCTCTTAGCTCAAATTATTATTCATGAGTGTAACAAGAGTGCGTCACGAGCGTATTACGAGTGCGTCATGAGTGCGTCACGAGTCAGATTCGTCGAAATAATGCAAGCAGTTGACATACGATTCGACAGTTACATCAGTCAGAGCTATTTATTACTACAATGTTAAGACAAATAAGAAAGATGAAATGATTTTGGATTTAGAGATCCTTGATTATGCAAATTATTGGTATTAAACTTCAGACTTAATCGAGCTGCGAACATTTGTTGTAACTGAACTTTAATGTGCGTCAAGAGTATGCCACGGTATTATAACTCAAACGATTAGTTTGTATAACGGGGTCTCGCGTACGATTACGTTAACTAAAAATGTCGGACAAAGATAAACGAAGTTACAGAAAATTCTATAGTCCCTGGCCATCGAATTAGGACCACGTACGAAAATTTCACTTTTATGGCTATAACATTATGTCATGGAAAATTGTTTTAGGTCATGCAAATTATTACTAAATACGTTGTCAACGATATATATGTAGCAATTACTATCGTGATAATAAATTGTGTGATGAGCGATTAAGGGCAGTGCGTTTACGTTAGGAGTATCGATAGCGCGTCAGGTGAAATTTGAATGCCACAGAAAATGTCTGCCTACTTAAAAGACTAGTTTACAACTCTCCAACTACATTATCCGAGTTGAAAAGAATTACAGATATTTGGAAAATATCGAAGGTATAAAGCATATGATCAATGTATGAGCATACTGGAAAGCTACCAAAGCAAAGGATGGAAATACAAGATATGAACTTGTGTTAATAATGTTATGTACAGTAGCGCATCATGTGTAGCTAATAAATTATATCATTTGTACAGACCTTTTAATTTTAAAAACGTGAACAATTCTGAAGATTTATAGTGGTTATTCGATGGCCAGGGACTGTAATATGCAAAAAAGTGAATAATGCGCATGATGGAAGCAGAATTTATTTTTTGTAAAAGTTACTGTTTCTTATAATGGAAGTTACTTTTTTACATAAAAGAAGTTTTCTTTCTCCTAATATTGGTGGTTTTTGCCAATTACTCGAACGTAAGTATCTGAAGGTATCAAGGTTTAAATTACTATAGGGAAGAAACGTTAATCATGTATACGCATGTATAAATACAAGACCTTGGATAAGATTACATCTTTCAAGAGATGTTATCGTTTGGATAATTGCAACGCTCTCATGAGCACTTTCACACTCGTTTATGGCAACGGGTGATTACGTGGACTATACTTACAAGATCGGGGCGCGTTACGGAAGAAAATAAAAGATGCGCTCCTGCGACCGATGTGGACACGTAAATTGCTTTCTAACGGAACGTTTGACGAGTTGAGAATTCTGGGAGAAATTTGGGGAATTTAGGATTTGAGAATTGGGAAATTTGAGGATTTTGGAATTGAGAATTGGGGAATTTGGGGAATTTAGGATTTGAGAATTAGGGAATTTGGGGAATTTAGGATTTGAGAATTGGGGAATTTGGGGAATTTAGGATTTGAGAATTGGGGAATTTGGGGAATTTAGGATTTGAGAATTGGGGAATTTAGGGAATTTAGGATTTGAGAATTGGGGAATTTGAGGATTTTGGAATTGGAGGATCCACTAATATCAGATTGTAGAAATTTGGGGACAGGAATTGGGGAATCTAGTAATGGGGGGGTTTAGGAATTTGGGGTTATAGCAATGAAATATTTAGGGATTTAGAAATTTAGAAATTTAGAGATATAGAAATTTAGAAATTTAGAAATTTAGAAATTTAGAAATTTAGAAATTTAGAAATTCAGAAACTCAGAAACTCAGAAATTCAGAAATTCAAAAATACGAAAATAAAAAAGTAATAAATTTTGCATATGTATCGTTATCGAAAAGAAGCGTTGCATCCGAGTGTACCTGCGATGCTGCTGTCCGATCGAATCAGCAGCCGGTTCGTTTCACCGGATATTCGACGTACAAAAGCAAACTCCACGGCCAGAGAAGCTCGAACAACGAGCCACGAGCCGCAAAGTCGTGCCGAGCCAGCCTCGAGATCGGTTTTCTTGTTTACCTTGGCATCTGTGTATGTACGTTAAGCTGCGCTAGCGATACAGGCGAATTTATTTGATGGAGAAAATGTTCTGCATCGTGCACGATGTATTAGTTCCACGGTAACGAGAAACACTTTTTTGCCAGAAATTCCGTGTATGGTGACTGACATTTGGAGGAAACTGAGACTACTGGTAACAATGACAGATATACAGAAATTTCTGATGCATTTCTATCGATTGATATTATTGTTTCGGAGCGTGGATTGAATAGTTTCTTGGTACAAAGATAAATTTTCGAGTATATGGTAAAAAAACACGTAAATACAATTTGTAGGGCAAGGAAAGTATAATACATAGGTTTATGATAAGTCATAGGTGTGCTGAAACAATAATAGAATGATTAAGTGAAGGTTTAGAAATTTATAAATATTTAAATCTGAATTTTCTTCGTTTTTGTATATTTGTGTCTTTAAATGTATAAACGTTCAAATTTAGAAATCTAGAAATTTAGAAAAGTTTATAAAAGCTTCACTGTATTTACGGTAAACGCGTAATAACACATCGTGTATCTTCGTTTTTCTTCGGCGCTATTCGGATGACCACGTGACACAGAAAGTCGTAGACTTCTATGACTGACGAATTTGATTAAAAAATAAAGTAAATTATAGTAAAGATTCGAAACAAGCGAATCTTTCTGTCTGAACTTATATCGAATCTTTACTGTAACAAGTAGAACCTGACTCAAGTACCCTCAGTATATCACCGCGAGTGTTCTCCCCGTGTTCTCGTTAACCCCTCAGGAAATCTTCATTACCGAGAAACGCGGATCGCGAGCCGTGCTGCAATGGACGTAAATATGGCATTAAATATACGAGAAAATTATTTTTACCCGGTGAAACCGAGTTTAGACTACGTCAGGGTGTCGTTCGCGAACGTAAGTCAAGTTGGTGTAATTTCATAGCGTGGCAGCGCCATCGGAGGAATAAGCGTTTGGCGCCGCGTGCAGTTGATTGTGACGTATGATACTCGTACATTATGCACCTCGCGCTTCGTCTCGGTTTCGAGTTTCGACATTTTTCTCGGTGCTTTATTACACGCTCGAGATATTTCTGCTCCGCGGTAATACATCCGTGGAGAGCGGACACGGACAAGTGCGTTCGTGTACACACTTTTCTACAATCTATAACGCAGTGCATTGCCATATCTGCAAAATAAATGCAACAAGTTAATGCACGAAAGTTTTATCCCAGTTTTTTACCGACGAATTTTACCGTGCAGAGATGTTATATTAACGTAGGAAACTCTCTGTTAAAAAGTTATAACGAGAACAGGAAATTTGGACTATTTTGTCTTTTGGTATCACGTACGTATGTTTCGTATTTGTACATAAAACTTTAACGATATATTGTATTGAGAGAAATGTCAAATTTGCAGGTTATGAGATATGTGTGAAATAATGGAATAGTTTTCTTTGATACTACATTTAAATACATTTGAATAGTTGACTTTCATATATTTTTAATAACTTTTAATAATGCATACATGTGAACAGCTGTTCTTTCTATTTGTAGAGCATTCTGGTAAACACAGAGAGAAGTGTAATTATGCGTGGTTTTAAAGAGCAAAACAGTCCCTTGTCATTTCGTTTTTATTTTTGACAGTTTAAGTAAGTATTTCATATTGCATGATATTGTTTATAAACGCCGTTCTTTGTATATTAAGTCGGTAATTACTTATATTTATCGATGAATACTTTTTTCTCATGTAACAAGAACAGGACCCATTGTTTAATAATATTTGACTATACATCATATTTGAGACTACCACACCATCTATTGTTCAAAATTAAATTGAAAGGGCATAAATCATTTTTCAATTATGTTTAAAATATTATATTAAATTTTTAACAATTTTTACAATATAGAATATCCAAAATATTTTTACAGCAATTTTTTAAATTTTTGCATTTAAACTCAAATATTAACTTTTTTATACTATTTCTATATTATGTAAATTTTCAGGTATTTTGTCAATAAATTTTTATGGAATATTGCTTCATGCATATTTTTTTCGAGGCTCTAAAATCCCAAATAAAGTTTAATACATTCAACTGCAAGAACTATAAACGTAAGTCCGCTCTCTCTCATGAATTTTTGATCTTCAAAACAATTGACAAAATTTGAATTTCCCGCGCAATATCTTTTTCTAATATATGCAAAATTAGAGACCCGAATAATTTTAATATTCCTACAAATCAGTAATAAATTTGTTACGACGTGATTTCAAACAGATTTACTTCACAGTCCATTAAGATTTAATCTTTTAACAGCCTCAGACCTACCACAGGGAACAAAGGGCAGAATACTTAATGACCTCCCGTGAAATTTAATTAATCTTCTCGACGAAGAGCTTTATAGGACCGAGAGCTAAAGCGACTTTAATTACACTCTAATTAAAATCAACAATCAGGTACCGTAATTAAACGTTATTCTTTACAAATTGAGGTGAACGAAATAAAAATGAGAAAATTAACAAGCGTAAAGTATGGGACTACCATGAATTTTGTGGGCATATCAGATCGATCTAGTGGTGAAATTGTAAATGACACTAGCAAAGAGAAATTCGGGGTCGATAAAACAGCTTACCCTTTTCGACCCGCCATCGTATCGATGCGGTAGAATTCTTTCGTCAGGGGTAACTTTTTTTTCAACAGCAGCGACACACGTGGCCACAGATGGTATTATGGCAAATGTTCTCTTCAACCCCTAACATGTCACAAGTGTTCCTACAAATAATGGAAAAATTCTAAAAATATTGCTCCATTATTTCTTTAATTTTTTAGTCTATTTTTCATTAGTGTTTGTGTTAAAACGAATTACTGTTTACTGTCTGTGTTAAATCAAAACAATATTATATTTTGAGCAGATCAAATAATTCACAGATGGCAGAAATATTGCTGATTTGAATAATTATTTTTATTGAAGGTTCTTTGTTAAATTTTAATAAATAATTTTGTAGAATACTGAAAGAATTATTGGATTTTATTTATTTTTATTATAATACAAGTTTATTGGATGTAATTTTTATTTTTAATTAAATTGATAAAATTCGAGGTTTATTGTTTCAAGAAACAGTTCCTATTTAACAGAAAGGTACTGCCACTCTTTTGTTATTAACTAATTTCTAAATAAATTAATTTTTTATGGACATTTAAATTATTGTAAACATTTAATGTCTTTCAAGAAAAACTTTAGTACAGTTCCTATTTAACAAAAAAGTACTGTCACTGAAATTTTGTTATGAACTAATTTCTAAATAACTTAATTTTGTATGGGTATTTAAATTATTATGAAGGTTTAATGTTTGACAAATTGCGATAAATTTAATGGTAAATTTGCACCTTAAATTGAGCAACCAGCCATTCTCTGACGAATGAAAGGATGAAGGACCCCTTTAAAGGGTTAAGCGACCCTAATATGCATAATGCTAACTCCTAGGGTTAGGCAACCCAGCGTACAACTGTGCCACATCGGTGTCCCACTGTAATGGTATTTCAATTTAACAAGTACTCATTTATTTATTATTTATTCATTTAATTTCACTTTTACAAATTATTATTATTAATATTTTCAAATTCATTATTAGAAGTATTAAAAAATAATGATAATATGATGTAGATGTTTAAATTTTGCAAAACCCACCTACAATTAACATTGACATATTTATTATTGAGTACAGCATTATTATTATGCATTGATGTTGTTTGAAAAAATAGGTTGACCTACAATAAAATATTTCAAATAAATTTTTAAATAATTTACTGCATTATTTATAGTACAATAACAATGTCGAATATTATTAATTTTGAACTTAGTATTTGAACTAAGTAAATTTGAAATTTCCAAAAAATATTCTAAAATACTTTAATTTAATTTCTACAGTATGTACCAATATTTTTCGTTTATTAATTATTATATGATCAAGTTTCATCATAGTCAGTACTGACGTCCTTGACTTACAAAATATTTTTCAATTCTATACAATAATTTTCAAGGTTAAATATGACGAAGTTAATAATTTATTTTATTTCTAAATTTGTTATCTTGCAACAATATAAATCAAATGCATGAATGAATAAATCCACATTTTCTCATGCAAAGGGACTTTTAAATCAGGAAACAAACCATGAATTAAGAACTCCAGCAATATTATGTCTTAAAAATTTATAGAAAGTGTTCATAATAGAAAAAAATAAACACTATCTAAAAACGTGGTTTTCTCTTGCACTATCCAACTAATCGATTCCCCACGAAAGATAGCTTTCCCCAAGAAACAAAGAGAACGTTATAATCATTAAAACTGAGATCAAAAACCGGTGTCTCATGGCATTCGGCAGATCATTTCCGGTGAAGCTCTTTCCAAGGGACACTGACAGGAAAATTTCCCCCGAAAAAAAGAAAGAACTGAAAAGTGCAGACGCAACGACACCGACTCTTTATTTGACGAACCAGAACCCTTCATTATGTGAAACACCCTTTGTCCATCTGGGGTGGACCCGGTGCACCTACCCAAAGAAAGATGGACAGAAGGGCCGAAGAATTCCTCGCGATAAAGGAAAATCGTTGCGTTTGAGACGCCGACAAAGCCCATTCATTTTAACTTTCTTAATGACGGGATCGTTAGCCCCTGATAGCCAAAAGCTTTACATTTTCAGGCGATTCCGCAGCCTTTGCCGTCTCGTTAGCGTAAAACTTGATGCGGAACGAAAAATGCAAGATGTTCGATGCCCCTTTCCGGTGCATTGATGAACATGCTCTTATTTAAACAAATTCAAATGTTGAAATAAACCTTCATGCGGAACGAAAGATGATAATTTATATTTCCTTCGTTTAACAGTGTGTACTAATTTTCAAGAAAATGTATCAAATTAATTAAGACAGTGTTAAGCGGTGTGTACCGAGTGTTAAAAGAAGAGGTTAAAAATGCAAGGAAGCTTCAAAATTGAGGAAGCAATCGAATTTGCGCAAAAAGAAGCGTTAAAAAGCCACGTAGCGATTTAACGACCTTATTAAACGTTACAATCGCTCTCAATGGGCGAGTAAAGTGTCTGAAGGTGACGATACACACGATTGGTCTTCCAACCTGTTTCGAACAGGGGGGCGTGTGACGAAACCGCAATGGCCGACTAGCAAGATAATGAGACGTCTCGATCTGCGATTGCGGGCCCCTAGATAGGGATATCGCGATTGGTAGTAAGAGGTAGCCGGGATTTATAATTGATGAGGGCTGTAGAACGACGCCGAGGTGTCGTTATCCGCGCTGACAAGATAATACTCGCGAAAGCCGAGAGCCCACCCCTCTCTAACCACCTCCTCGTCTCTCCCTTTTTCACTGACAGTCCCTCTTTCTCTTTCCACTTTCTCACATCGACCTTCTCCACCACCCTCTCATCACGCCTTTCTCACCCCGATAGCACTCCTATTTCCCTACGCTCGAGGGCTCTCTCTCACCTGACAGCCCTTCAAGGAACGACCGACTACCACGTTAACGATCAGCCACTATATGCATGCGAATACATTATATAGCGACTGTTACGCCTACGGAAAAGTTCGTGTCACCATACCGATGATTGGGAACGAAGAAAAAGGAGATGCTGGAACGATTTTAATGCCAGTTTAACGATGCTCCGCGATGGGGATGAAATCGACTTCGGTACTGGGTGTTCAATTTTCTAGAGGACTATCCGGGTTTTTAGTTAGATTTAGACAGGTTAGATTAGATTAGAGTTTAGAGAGGTTTTTATTTAGATTTTTACCAAGTTGTAAGTTGGACTACAAAGTAAGTAGCGTTGGGGTGGTTGGGTAAGTTAATAATTATACGTTTGTTTGGAAGTGGAACGTTAACTTTTATGTATTGCTGTGAAATTTTGCAAAATTATTGATACAATAATGTACACAAAAATGAGGAGAACACGGGATTGAAGGAGGGACTAAAAGGCAAAAGGAGGGGTTACCGAAGACATAAATCTTCGAGGCTTTCTTATCAAAGGTGCTCCACTGGGAAATGGCGGCAATCTCGAATCTGCTCCTCCTCGAAATGAGGGAAAGTCGATTTCCGCGCAGATATGTCTATTGTAAAGATTGTACAATTTATAGAATTAAAATTGTGTAACTGTATGTAAATAAATTATGTAAATTTTTTTCAATTTTTATGTCATTATTTTATTTATGTCTTATATATATAAGATTGTACTGTCTTACATTTTGCTGTTTTGTATTTAAACCCTATAATAAAATTAATATATATTAATTCTCACAGTTGAAATTTTAGACAAAAACAACGTAGGTGAACAAAACTTGGGACTCCATTTTGGAGACATGTTACAGAAATTATTTTTAGAAAATTGTGAAATAATTTTGATCGTTGCATTACATTTCTAAAATCAAATTTTTAATTGAAGTATTTTTTATCTCTGTATAGTACATTTCTAAAGTGAAATTTTTAACATATATTTTTATCTGAATGAGAAAATATAAACAGAGTATATTTGACCGAATACAAAAACATAGATCGTAAAATAATAAGAAGAAAGTAAAACAGCAGACAAAAGGAATTAAAAGGAGAGGAAAGACAGTTGAGGAGGTCGCAAGTATTTTAGAACTGATGAAGAAGGAACGAGCTCGTTACCTCTTCCTGTTCGTAGATACAAACTCACCTTTTTCGCGCCATCAACCCCACGTCCTGTTCCAGCTACACCCCCCATACCCACTCCTTTGCCCGAACTCGTGCTTGTCCGATAAGGAATTTGATTTAAAAATTCCAACGACTCACCCTTTTATGTAAATACACATAGACGGTTCGACGGGTAGGAAAAATCAGCGACGAAAGTACCGTCTCTCTTTTCATTCTTTACAATACAGTGCTCATTTTATTTTTGTTCTTTTTAAGGCACGTGTACAAATATATTGATTATTGAATGTTTTGTAGTGTTTATTCGATTAGGTATATCATCATTTATGGTAAAATGGATTAGGTTGCGTTCATTGTAAAATAAATTGAATGTTAGATACATTATGTTTAGTGTAAAATTAATTGTATATGTACGTGGTAATGTTTATTG